GTTGTTAAGACTTGATGGATGCAGCTGCCTTGACATTTTAAGGAGATGAGATCTCACAGCAGAATACTGATCCTTTGGCTCTTACAATTGTTTTCCTCCCTCCCAAGCTGATCGAAGAAGCTTAGGTGCAGGAGTTATGTTGTAGATGTATCAGTTAAGGGTTGGTTCCACAAGTCTGCATTTTTTTTTTTTACTATATCGTTCTTTGTTTTTCTTTTCCATTTTTTAATTTAAATTACCAACAAGATTGTTTTACATGCCAATCCTAGTACCCTCTCCCTCCCCTCCTCCCCTGCCACCCACTAATAACCTACATATCCCATACCCTTTCTGCTCCCAGAGGGTGAGGCCTTCCATGGGGTTCTTCAGAGTCTGTCATATCCTTTGGGATAGGGCCTACGCCCTCCCCAGTATGTCTAGGCTGAGGGAGTATCCCTCTATGTGGAATGGACTCCCAAAGGCCATTCCTATGCTAGGAATAAGTACTGATCCACTACCAGAGGCCTCCTCACTGACACCGACATTCAGGGGGTCTGGATCAGTTCCATGCTGGTTTCCCAGCTATCAGTCTGGGGACCAAGAGCTCCCCCTTGTTCAGGTCAGCTGCTTCTGTGGTTTTCACCAGCCTGGTCTTCACCCATTTTCTCATCACTCCTCCTTCTCTGTAACTGGCTTCCAGTGTTTAGCTGTGGGTGTCTGCTTCTACTTCCATCAGCTGCTGGATGAAGGCTCTAGGATGGCGTATAAGTTAGTCATCAATCTCATTATCAGGGTAGGGCATTTAAGGTAGCCTCTCCTCTGTTGCCTAGATTGTTATCTAAGTGTCATCCTTGTAAATGTCCGGACATTTCCCTAGTGCCAGATTTCTCTTTAAACCTATAATGGTTCCCTCTATTAAGGTACCTCTTATTTTGCTCTCCTCTATTTTTCCCCCAACTCAACCTTCCTGCACCCTCATGTCCTTTTCACCTCTCCTCTTCTCTCCTTCTCATTTTCCTAGCTCCCTCTCCCCTTTCCCCATGCTCCCAATTTGCTCAAGATATCTTGTCCCTTTCCCCTTCTCCAGGGGACCATGTATGTCTCGCTTAGCGTCCTCCTTGTTTCCTAGCTTCTTTGGCATTGTGGATTGTAGGCTGGTAATCCTTTGCTCTAAATCTAAAATCCATATATGAGTGAATGCATACCATTTTTGTCTTTTTGTGACTGGGTTACCTCCCTCAGAATGGTTTCTTCTAGTTGCATCCATTTTCCTGCAAATTTCAAGATTCCATTTTTTTTTGTGCTGAGTAGTACTCCATTGTGTAAATGTACCACATTTTCTGTATCCATTCTTCA